AATTTATATTCCTTCATTTTCCATCAGGTTATCAGACAGAGCCATAAACCTGAACCTGAAGCTAATGAAATGGCGTCTCGTTCCAGATTTGGATCTAGAAAAGATCAGCAGTCTAAAGTGCCTTTTACTGGGCGCTGGGACCCTAGGATGCTCCGTTGCAAGAGTGCTTCTGGGCTGGGGAGTGAATAACATAATTTTCGTCGATAGTTCGAACGTTTCGCACAGCAACACAGTCAGACAGAGTCTGTATAACCATGAAGACGCTGTGAAGCATAAGTACAAGGCTTATGCAGCTAGAGACGCCCTTCTAAAAATCAGGCCAAGCATAGTGGGTACTCAGTTCTTCGTTTTATTTAGGCTTCACTGTATTAATTTTACCAATAACAATAGAACGTAGAAGGTGAGGTTCTGCACGTGCCAATGCCTGGACACGTTGTTGGTAAGAGCATGCTGGAGTCCACCAAACAATCATTGGAGAAACTGGAAGAACTAGTGGAAAAGAGCGATGTGGTCTTCCTTCTGTTGGATTCTCGTGAAGCCAGGTGGTTGCCCACGGTTCTTTGCTCTGCAAAGGACAAAATTGCGATCAATGCTGCTCTGGGATTCGATTCTTACACTGTACAGAGACATGGTACCAGAAATTTCGCCACACCGACCACACCAGACCTGGAAGCTAGGTACCCTCGTGGTATGGACCTTGGTTGCTATTTCTGCAATGACGTGACGCAACCTGGAAACGTGAGTGTACTAAAAGAGGATCTTAATCTGAAGTATCATAGTACCAATTTGTTCATCAAATATTTTAAAGCAATTTTGTTTTTGTTACAGTCGCAAACAGACAGAACCCTGGACCAGCAGTGCACAGTCAGCAGGCCAGGATTGTCGCAAATTGCTGCTGGTTTAGCGGTTGAACTGTTGGTAGCTCTATTGCAGCATCCCCAAGGGTAATAAAGAATGCAATATTTGTTTTATCAAAATGAGATTTGTAGTCTGTTTAATCATGGGAGTATTGGTATGTGTAGGATCGAGGCAGAAGCCTTGGTGGGGAATAGCAGAGACAATATTAGTCCAAGTGATACAGAATTGGTAGGCCTATTGGGATGCATACCACATACGATACGAGGATCCCTGTGGAATTACGACACCCAGCTGACAATCACGCACAGATTCACATCCTGCACGGCCTGCTCTGTGCCTGTTATCACCGAGTATAAAAATAGAGGCTTATCTTTCGTTCTGGACGCATGTAATATACCAAATTATTTGGAGAAATTGTCGGGACTGGAGCAAATACTTAAGAGACCTGATTTGGACGAGGTTTGTTACAATCAAAATTATATTTCCTCGTATAGAATTATTCTTTATTTTCTATGTTTCAATTAAAGCTTTGTTACGCTTTGGACAATATCAGCGACGACGACGAAGATGATCAGAACAGTATACCCTGAACGCACACACATTTTAGATACGTTGCATTACACTCATCGATACGAGTGAAATTTTAACATATGAGAACTGTGGAACAAAACCCACGCGATTGTCATTTCACGTTTCACGTTTTTTATTATAAAATTGACACTTGACATAAACGTATGTTATAGCCAGTAGTAAACATAAGCTTCGAAACGATTCGTTATCGTATTAACGACGCGATTTTTGTATAGAATTTTTATACGAGTATATCGAAGCAGCGAATATGTACATGTTCTTCAAATTTTTAATAATCAAACGACTAGTGGGCGAACGGGCGTAATGTAATAAATATGTTGTTGAATGTACTGAGAATTTATGTATGTATATATGAATGTATCTATTTCCCAGCGATCTCGTTTTATTTCCAGAAAAATGAATTATAAATAAAAAAAGGACGAATCTGAAATAAAGTCTCAATCAACATTTACAAGGTTCTTAAAATTAAGGTGGCCCTTATTTATTTAAAAAAAAAGCATAATTTAAGAAAAAAACGTAAAGTGTATTTCTGAGCTGTCCAGGTGTATCCTAGCCCTAAATAGGCGCGCGCGCGAGGACAGTCCACGATTTTGCCAGCAGAGAGCGTCTCGATGAGAGAATGCCAGGCATTCCAGCGTAATGCACGAGTAGTGGGGGACCGAGGTTGGCTCTCGTGTGTCAAACGGCCAGCCTGTGTGGTGTTCCGTGTGTGTTCCGGCCCCGCGCGCATACCATTAGATTTTCCTGCGTTTTCAATGAAAATACGTGCGTCGCGTTGGCTCGGTGCGCGAGCGGTGATCACCGCGGATGTTTGATCGCGTGTTCGCCGGGCTGTCATCGCTGAACGATCGGTGAGTGGACATTGGAAGCCGGGAGAACCACCTTAACTTCGATTTACCTCGAGGAATGCATGGCTCGTTCCTTTTTTTTCTCTCTGTTCACGCTACGCCGCATTCCTCTATCGATTCCTGCCCTCCCCATAGGAGGGGGGCTTGGCTGTTTCGTTTACTTGGTCGGTAAGAAGGTTTCTGAAAATCCTTACCGATTGTTCACTTTACAAATGGGCGAATTATTCGAAGAATTTTGTAATTGTGCGCGCGAGCGCGCGTGCATACCTCTTGATACACGATATCGAGGCGTTTCGTTGATACATCGCTTTCGACGAATTCCATCCAACGGCACGCGATATTATTTACGATCTCTCTTTCTCCCTTTTTTTGCTTGTATTGTAATTGGTAATCGAATTCTAAAGATTTTTTAAACTTTTGAGTAATGAGTTTTTTTTTTCTTTTCGAATATTAATACAAAAGGTATATGGAGAAATTGTTGTCGAGAAATTGAATTTCGGTGAGAATCAAGGAAAAGCTCTCGCGAGAGTATCGAGCGTAGGAGTGGGGAGTAGAGGTATTCGATCCAAATTGTGAGATCATTGGCTACCTTTTACTCGACACGAACAACGTTCCATCCTCTGATAATCTTGGATAGTAATTGCTATATACGTGTTAGAACTGAAAAATGTAGTAGTTTCAAGTTTTGCATTAGTTCCATGCTATCAGTTTGAATTTCTTTTTTTTAGACGGATTAAAGGAAATCCGTGGGATATGTGATAATTCGTAGAAGTAGCGTCAATTTAGGTGGCATTGTTTATGTCGTTGGGATGAAATTGCGACGCCGGTTGCGTGGAAGTTTGGAAAGAGAGCAGGGGGCGGGATACGGGAGTAAGAAAAGGAACGCTGGCTAGTAATGGCCTCAAGTGTCCCCAAATCATGTTCCAAATATTCCTTTCTTACCCCACTTGAAGGGTGGAACACCATAACCCACGGACCTTCGCCATCTATAGTCTCTTCAATATCTATTTAATTTTCAAGACCAATATAAATCCTAACTACCACAATTTAAACTAATAGTACCTTAATAAAAGAGCATAAATAGCTGTTTCTCTATCCAGTGAAGAAATTTTTGCTGAAATATTGTAGAATTCTGAATTTAAATTTGTAAAATAATTCTCCAAGGCTTCCTATCAGTCACAAAACACGAATTTTATTTTTTACACACAACAAAGGCCTTAATCTTAATCAGAGAACAAAGAAATACCTCAGTCTTATCTTCTAACCAAGGAAAACAAATTTTATATAGGAAAAAATGACAGGAAAACGTTGTAAAAAATTTAGAAATAGTTTTGTATTGTTCAGAAGTAACTTCAGTCCATCGCTAGAGTCGGCACGCTAACGGTGGGTGGAGTGGGATCGAGCGGGTACGCGTGGGGACTCGCGTTCGAGGCTAGCAGAGGGTGGCGCGGGGCTCGGGGCGAGCCTCTGGTGAGGGGTCCGCATTCCACAGACAATGTCACGTTTTTTAATCCCCGTTTTACTTTATTTGTGCTGCCTTCAGCCGCGAGGAAGGCCCCCAAACAGTTAACTTCGACTTCTGTCCCCAGAGAGCAGACGGTGCCGGGCTTCCAGCGTTTCCTCGCGGGTATTTCGAACACCTGCTGCATCCACGGCTCGTGGAACACCTCTGTCTGGACACTGGCCACGAATTAGCAGAGTTTTATTTACCGAATCGAACCCTTCAGGGTGAAACTGGTGCGTCAAGGATACCTATCGCGAGAAGAGGAGGAGATGTCTGCTGTTGAGAGCGCCTTGGACGTCCTCTCCAGGGCGGCGACCATGGTGCAAGGTCAGTTTGCCTCGTGACTCGCTCCTCTGATGGAGCTACGGACTCTAGTGTCAAGTTCTATGGGATTATTTTCGCTGACTGGATAGATTGTTGGTCTATGGTGGCTCTGAAAGTGATCTAGTGACTCTGTAACAAAGTGTTCTCCAGGATAACACAGGATACCATTCCTGGGGTCACTTGTCGCTACAGTAAATTACTATTTCAGAGCACACTTGCTCATTGACAGAGGGCTAAGGTCACTCTAGCCAGTCTACTGGGTGTTACAGAAAGTGTATTTATCGCAGATGTGATAGAACAAGGTAATTGTGTGTCTGAGGGGTGTCAAATAGCTTTCTGTAACACCTATTCCTAATGGAAATGAATCAGGTGATCTATGCTGGTCAATTATTGAATACATGCATAAGACGCCTTTACATTAGTTCTGAGAACCGCTACGTTTTCAGATACTCGATTTACCAAAGACACTCTTCCATTGATTTCCTAAGTTTACATCCCATAGATTCCACCCTTATTGCCCCAGTAATTCCCAAAACCACCGAGCCCGTCAGAAAGCCTCGTTTTCATAAATTAATTGTGGCTCGTCGAAGCGATTGACGGGAATTCACACTCCGTCGGGTCGTCGCGGATTTATGTAAGCAGCGAAGAGGCCAGTTCGAGCCCGCATTCCTACGAAATGCCAATTTCGCGTCGAATTAGATAACATTGTGCGGCGTTTATTTTAGATTCGTCGCGTTAGCGGCTTCTCCAACGCGCTCCTTGGCAAGAAACGCCCGTGCAGACCTTCTGTGACGCTCAGTTTCGATCGAAACAACGTCACCGTACATCCTTCCACCATCCTGATCCCTTAGTATTCCTGGAACCGCTTCTCACGGTGTCACGAACCGATTGCTGGCCAAAGTGTGTCGTTTTCGCAACGCTCTGGCGTGTAATCGAGCGTAAACAATGGTCTTCTCGCGCTGGGGCAATTGAATCACTCCATTATACTGTTGCAAGCCTTGTTACGCTGTTTCCATTCATGGAGAATCAGCGGACCTCTTTTTATTTGCTCAAGATGCTGATAGGGTGAAGTTCTTTGGTAAGGAAGGAAGTATCGGCTGGAAGATACGGCTCTTATCAGCAATTGAGTCATCGAAAGTTGATAATGCAGATAAATCTGTGTATTCTGGCTCTTTTTTCACATTCCAATATTTTTTACTGTTGAAAAATCCTATCGACACGTAATTACATCGATCTGTTCTTTCCTTTTCTTCAAAAATCTATTGTCCAGGGAAAAGAAATTTTCTGATGGTCAGAATCAAGGACAGCTGATTCTCCGAGCATACCGAGCGACACAAACGGCCATAAAAAAAAGGTAGCGGCGAAGTGTGACGCGTTAGAGAAAAGGTTCCACTTTCGAGGGCAATCGGGAGCATGACAACGCGTCCATGGCGATGATTTTCATAAATCATCGGCTGCTATCGGAGCGGACAGCGGAGCGTAACGAGAAGCCCCGGTTCTCGAGAGTGTGACTGGTCCCCCCCTCCCCGTGTGATGCGGTTTGTTGTGATGGAATGCCGTAGCTCGAACCTGTTCCGAATACCAACCGTAGTTGCGCCACGTGCCAAACGATGGCGCGTCCGGTGACTTTCTCGACTGTCCAAAAATACGTTTCCCCGGTCGATCCTACGGTTATCGACGCGGTTTCGATATTCCGCAGTTGTATCAGAGGGTAATTCATGTAGGGAGATCGTCAGAGCTGAACGATTTGATCTTCTCTCAAGGTTGTTGGTAATTTTCTGGGGGAAAAAATTATAAAAAGGGAGAGTAAAATTTTTATTCTAACTTGAGTGTAGCCTGGATGGAGGAATATTGGTATTTTTAGGTTAACAAGTAATTCGTGTAAACACTTTGGAAAGTTTTGTGGATTTTGAATCCGTGTTCTGAATCTAGTAATAATTTGTAACAAGTCGATAAGCTTGGAAACGAATAGTTCAATTTTTCACTTCATTTCTAACCTTGTCGAATGGAGATCTCTCAGTTTCGATTGACAGACAGATAGGTATTAATTTTCAACAGTGAGTCCGCATTGCAGGTTTCCTTTTGCTTCAGCACATTCCATCGGGTGTGAATTACGCTCTGCTGGCAGGAATATCGAATACTTGTGTATTTCTATTTATTCCGGTGTGTTGGAACGAGGTGGATTTTGGAGAACAAGGAAGATAGGATACGATGAAACGTGGCGAAACATTCCACGAATTCATGTCCACGTGCCGATGTGCAATTCGCTGCTAAACGAACGTCTGATAACCGTGTGCGATTACCTGGTCGCGTTGCTGTTAAA